ATGTTTAGCCCAGAAAGTAAAAGAATTGGTGGGGCAATATCACAAAGACCTTGACTTGAGTCTTGTAACTGCCACTTACTAGCTGCGTGACTTTGGGCAAGTCTTTCATTTTACTCATCTGTAAAATGGAGACAATATTTGCACTACTTGTCTCCCAAGGTTGTAGTAAGAAAAAAACTTAATATTCAAATTAATCTATAATTTCACAATTCAAATTCTTTCAATGACACGGATCATAACCCATTCATGCCTACCCATCCTTTGCGTCACTTGTCCATGCCCTCTAGACACTTAATTTCTCCTTATTGCAAGGGTGTCAAGAGAACACTCTAGCTGTCCCTGTCATACTTTGTTCTTCCCATCTTCTTGTTATTACACAATCCCATGAGGACATCTTTTATTGAAAGGTTCTTTGATGTTCCTCAATAGTTCTATGCTGTAGCTAATTCATATTTATTTTACAATAAAGTATTTATTTTATAATAAAATGCATAATGAATAGAGGCATAGCATCCAGAAATAAAGAAATGATAGACAGATCCCATCTAGAACACTAAGTTCAGGTCTGGGTGTCACATTTTAGAAAATTAAAACAGGTCCAGAGTAGGGCAACCAGGATGGGGAAAGGCCTCCACAACAGGAAAGAGAAGAATTGGTTGAAAGAACTGGGGATATTTAGCTTGGAGGAGAGGAGATATATGAGGGTCAAGTATCTGAAGGTGACCCACATGGAAAAGGGATTATTTAAGCCTCACAGGGCAGAACCAGGATCAGAGACTTATGGAGTTGGAAGGCAACTTGGAGGTCATCTGGTCCAATTCCCTCATTTTACACATGGCCTCTCAACCCCCTTATTTTAAAGCTAAGGAAACAAAGGTCTGAAATATCCTAATAACTTGCCCAAGATCACACAAATAATTGAGTGGCAGTGCTATTTCCAATATAATACAATGCCTTTCCATAGAGAGATTATTCCTGGGAGGGAATGGAGAGGGAGAGGGAATATTGTTACAGAGAAGTAAATTCAGATCTGAGGTTTGGGGAAAGCTCCTCACAATAGTTGTTATTCAGTTGGTCCACATCCAACTTTTCATGAGCCCACTTGGGGTTTTCTTGGCAAAGATACTGGAGTGATTTGCCATTTCCTTCTCCAGCTCATTTTACAGATGAGGAAACTGAGGCAAACAGAAGGGTCATACAGCTAGTGTCTGGATTTGAACTCAGGTCTTTTCACTGCACCACCTAGCTATCCTAACAATTAGAGTTAACCAAAAGCCAAATGGACTGCTTCAAGAGGCAGTTCTTAGTCTGAATCCTTCAAATGTCATAAAATTTGAAGCCTGGGTGACTACTTTTTTTTTTTGCTTTTTGGTGAGGCAATAGGGGTTAAGTGACTTGCCCAGGGTCACACAGCTAGCAAATGTCAAGTGTCTGAGGTCACATTTGAACTCAGGTCCTCCTGACTCCAAGGCTGGAGCTCTATCCACTGTGCCACCTAGGTGACCCAGGGTGAACACTTTTTGAGTATGTTGCAGAGGAGGATATTTTTCAGGTATAGGTTACACTAGATGACAACCAGTGAGGTTCCTTCTAATTCAAATGCTATTATTCTGTGAAATATTGGAGGGACTGAAGAAGACACATTGGGCTTGTTCTGTCTGGCCCTAGAAGGCAAAACCAGAATCAACGGAGAGTAGTTACTGAGAAGCAGATTTTGTTTTAGCTCTACAAAAATGGAGTGAGTTGCTTCAAAAAAAAAAAAAAAGGAGTAGGTCCTCCATCACTTTTCAAGCAAAAATTGAATGACTACATAGTGGGAATAACACAAGAGATCCATGAACCTAGGAAGGGATAGGACTGGACAACTTCTCAGGTCTCTTCTAACTCTGAGATTCTGTGACTCTCTTACTAAGTCATAAACACCTGGAGATGCTTTCCTAATTTGTAGGAATCAAATAACTGCACAGAATAAATAAATTAGCTAGCATTTATAAAGTGCTTCGAGGTTTGCAAAGTGCTTTATGTTAACCTCACATGACCCTCACAACTCTGAGATTGGTACTATTATTATCTCCATTTTACAGATAAGAAAACTGAAACTGAGAGATAAAATTACTAGCTCTGGGTATACAGCTATTAAGTGTCTGAAGCAGCATTCAAACTCAGTTCTTGCTGACTCCAAGTCAGTGCTCCAAATGGGATAAGCCACAATAAAACTCCCATGAGAACATAAAAGTCAGCTAAGAGCATGGTATCAAGGAGTTTGTTCTCTCTCCACATACACAGTAACACTATAAAGCCACAGTAGTAATAGAATAAGGTGAAGGGGGGGCAGGGTAAAGGAATAAATACAATATAGTGTTCTACTGCTCCCAGTAACACAGTACACATTATTGTTCTTAATAAATGAAAATACAAATGACAATTCCCATCTCTGTGTGTATAGCTGAAAAGACTCCTGGTAAGACCTACCCTACCATATTAAGGTTCTGTGATAAAGTGAATTAAAACACACAGATACTAGCTCCAAAAGAGGCAATAATCAACAACAAAAATTTATTTAGCACGTATTGTGTGTATCACACTAGTTTATAGAGGTCCAAAAAGTTAGATGATAAAGCTCCTTCACTCCAGGGGTTTATAATCTAGTTGGGGAGATAGAACCTATAAATAAAAAGATAAATAATTTTATAAATTAGTATAAGCCAAGCGCCAAAATATTAATACGAGTAATTTTTATTCCATATTTGAGGTAAACAAAAATGGATTTTCTTCACTTTTATGTTTACATTAGTCTACCACACAAACCAAGGTAAAACCTATAAAGTGACAATCTTGTTTTTGGCCCAAATTATTTCTGGAGATTGCACATGTTGCTTACAAAGTCTGTGAAAATTTCTGGAGGAGACATTTATAGTTTTCTCCCTGGTAGCTATGAGGAACTCCCAGTATGAAAATTCCCTACAATCATTAAACTCAGTCAGTCATTTATAGCCTTAGAAAGACAACAACTTCACCAGCTGAGAGGTTAAGACATGACAATCTGAACTTCTTCATTTGAAGCCTGGCCTTCTGACTAGTAAGTACTCCATAAGCAATGACCCTTTTTATAGTAAAACATATAGAAATACAGTTATATGCCACTGCTACTTTCTTATATTGATGATCATTTCCCCAACTGTGGATTCATGTTACACCTATACCCTTCCTCTAGATGAATCCTGTAATTGACCAAAAGCATCCTCCACTCTCACCAGAGTTCTCTCTTCTATGTCCAATTAATACTTCCTCAAAACAGTCAATGAATATCTTGAGTAACAATTAGCTCGGGGGGGGGGGGGGGGGGGGCCTTCAAAAAACAAAGGACCCTATGCCTAAAGCTAAACTGTGGTTAAAGGGAAAGCCCAGTTTAAATCAAAGAAAAATTGGTCTTGTTGCTAGGACAAATTGCATTTTTTAACCTGGCTCTGATATTAAAAAGCTTTAACCATTTTTATAGATGGTCACTGAACAGTTTGCTTGAATCAGTGAATGCCACATTATGTATTGGCTCACTCTCATTCTCTAATTGCCCTGGTTCCTGGACCTTCATCCCCCAAAGTAATATTGTTCAAATGCTATAATTAAGAAGTGACATTTAAGGTAAATCACCATTCCTAATATAAAAGCAGTCTAACACCAACCCTCCATACACATTTGAACCCAAGTCAAAAAAAAAAAAAAAGAGCTTTCTCTACTTCTTTTCCTAAGAAATGTTTTAGTAATTTTTCCACCATTCAGAAACTCAGTTTAAAAAAAAAAATCAATACACAATAAGACAAAGGGGAGCCGAGCATCAACTCATTAATAATTCTTTTTTTTCAAAGCCCTTTTTCATCCATAAAGGAACAAATATCCTTGTGCATTTTGAGCAGCCTCTATAGCAGGGGTTCTTAATTGAGAATTTTTAACATTTTAACGTAATTGACTTTCTTTGCAATCTTATGTATTATATTTTATGCATCTAAAAACATTATTTTTAGGTGTCTCTAGCCTTCAGCAAGCTGCTAAAGACTTTGTGCCTCCGTGATACACAAAAGGTTAAGAAGCCAAGCAGCCTTGTTCCATAGCTACACATTCAATGTTTATTTTTAAGGGACAGAGAACACAACTTTCTCCATGTCTTCACTGCATACAAAAAGATTTTTCTGGGGCAATGAGGAGGGAGAATCAAAGCATCGGAAGATTACATCCAAATTTCTTTAACGGAAACCCACGTTTTATATTTATTCCGTTACACACACTCTCCTCTCGCAGAGAAGACTTTTTATGCTGGTGTTTACTAAACCTCATCCTCAGTGACATACATAAATCAGGTGCAGGCCCTGGAATCCGTATAAACAAAATAGGTCAGGGCTGCAGGCTCCACATCCTGCATCCTGAGTCCTCTCTTTGCCAATCAAAATCCATCTCCTCAAAAGGGGAAACTGGCCAGCCTCCTTCGGCTCCTCTTCCTCCTCCTTCCCCAAACACGCCCCTGGCCTCTCCCTCCGCCCCTCCAACCAAAAGTCACCGACAAAAATCTGCATCTGGGGGGAAGAGAGGAGAGGAGGTGAGCCCCAGGACTGACCTATTTATTTCCATTTAAGATCTTACAACCTGCAGGGGAAGCTGCATCATTTCCATGACAACAGCTGGGAGGGCTTTCCCCCAACTCAAGGAGGGATGAAGGATGCAGTTGCGTCCTCCACTACACCCCCCACCCCCGGCTGCTTCCATCTCCACCCTAATCCCCGGGGGTCCGCCTCTACAGCAGGGCTCGCGTGGGTCGCCCACATTCCCACCCTCCTCCATCCTCTCCCGGCTCCACCCTGTCTCTTAGTGGAGACAGAGCAGCAGCGTCCTCCTCCTCCTCCCCCAGATGTTCTCCTCTTCCCCGCCCCCCCCCGCTGCCGCCGACCCAGCCCCCTCCCACGACCCTACCCCTTCCTCCGTCCCGTCCTGGCGCCGCAGCCCCGCACCTGAACCACGCCGCGGGTCCCAGGACCCCAGACTCCAGCAGCCCGCGCCGCCGGGCTCTCCAGCGAGCTCCCCGTGTGGCAGGCGCCGGGGAGGAAGCACCGCCGCCTCTGTCGCTGTGGCAGCTCCTTGCAGACTGAAGAACCTGCAGCCTCGGCGCCGCCTGCTCTAGGGCTGCCTGGTTGTGAAGTCATAGGCTCCGGCCCCTCCTCCTCCTCCTCCACCTCCTCCCTCCTCAGCGCCTGGCAAGCAGCAAATGCGCTCCCCAGAGCGAGTTCCCCCGCGCGGCTGGCTGCGGCAGGAGCAAAGCGAGGCTGCAAGTTGTTCTCTGCCCGCCTCCTCCCCGTCTTGGCCAATCCCCGGGCGCGGCAGGCTAATGGGGGGCCGCCTGGACCCGCCCCCCGTCAGCCCGCCCCTTCCCTTGACGCATGCTCACAGCGGGAGCTGAAGCTCACTCTCTAGCACGCTCCTTCTCTATCCACCTGCCACTTTGAGAAACGGGTCCTCGCGTGGCTGCCCACTACCCCTAGCAGCTTGACCCCTGAAGCCTAAGGAGGAAGCTGTGACTTATCAGATGCCATATCTACTTCTTTCACGTCTACCTGTATTCAGCGAGATCCCCTGGCCTCAGTCTACCTATCTGTAAAAGTGGAGGTTCTGAAACTAGTGTTCCTCTGCCTTCAGCCTCTACAGAGGATTCATTTTTCTTAACCCAACAGCGGCCTGTGTAACTGGAATATTGTTATAAATTGATTGATTACGACGTTAAATCAACTAAATCAGAATGACTTTCTCAATGAACCCCCCTCCCTATGCTGGGGGCAAAAGGGACTATTCTGAAACCTGACTTAATTCTTTCTATTGAGATACTATTACATTTGCTCTAGGACGAGTTAATGAAGACTTCAAAATTTACACCCCTAAAGTAACTCTCTCAGACTTAATCACGGTTCAGATTAGGAATGCTTTTGTTTGCAGAATATGAGACAAGAGATCATTTGTTTTTTTCCTTTTGGGTAGCTTTAATTCGGTTCCCCTACTTCAGAACCACTATAATCCCAGGATGAGCTAGTGTCTTCCCAAAAAGTAGTGCTGGGACAAGGGTAGGGTTGAGATTGGGAATAGGATAGAGCAGGGATTCTTAACTTTATGTGTCATGGATTCCTTTAGCAGTCAACTGACACCTAAAGACGACTTCTCAGAATGTTTTTAAATGTATAAAATAAAATACATAGTTAAAAAGAAAATCGTGTGTATTGACATAGTTATGAAGATATTTTAAAGGGTACGGAGCCAAGATGGCAGAGTAAAAGCTGTGATTTCCTAGAGCTCTCCCCCAAACCCCTCCAAACACCTATAAAAAATGGCTCTAAACAAATACTAAAGGAGCAGAACCCACAAAAAGACAGAGTGAAACAAATTGCCAGCCAAAGACAGCCTGGATGGTTGATCAGAAAGGTATATTGTGCCAGGCTGGGAGAGGAATGCAGTTCGGCATGGGTGCGCAGGCCGCAGCAAACCTGGACCAGGCCTCAGAGGACTGAATCACAGGCAGCTATGGCAATTTCTAGACCTCTCAACCCATGAACCCCAAGACAACTTAGAAGGACAGTGGGAAAAGTCTGTTTCGGCGGGGTCCCAAGCCCATTCCCCAAGCTTGGCCCCAGGGCAACAGCTGCCTCCTGTGGGCCCTTCAGGCCCACAGACTGAGGGAGAATCAAGTGGCTGATCAGAGGGGGATTGCAGGGATCTCTCTGTTGGTGCTGAGGCATGATTCTCTTGCTTTGCCCATGCTTGGATCTGGGTCACAGTTCTGGGTGGTGATCCTAGAGTGAGGAAGGGTGCTGGCATACTGGAGCTTGTAGTGGCTGTGGAGAGGAAATCCTCCTCACAGTTCCAAGACAGAAAAGAGTGCTTGTGGTCACTCATAGACCAGAGCATGGGCCAGGAAAGGTGTAAACATCTCACCCTTGATCATAGAACCTTGGAAGAACTGAAAATTTACAGGTCCCTAGAAGTATCTCTGAAAACAGCTGCACAAAACCCCTGAAGCTTGGAACAGTACATTTTCCACATTGGAAGCAGACTCTTACCTTAACAAAGAGTTTAAAACTCAAGTAATTGGCCAGGATTATTTAAGTCAGACTATTATTATTAATTCAGGCTATATTACCTTACTTTGGTGACAAAGATCAAAACACAAAACCAGAAGAAGACAATAAAGCCAAAGCTCCTACATCCAAAGCCTCCAAGAAAAATATGAATTGGTCCCAGGCCATGAAAGAGCTCAAAAGGGATTTTGAGAAGCAAGTAAGAGAAGTAGAGGAAAAACTGAGAGTTTTGCAAGAAAATCATGAAAAACAAGTCAACAGCTTGCTAAAGGAGACCCAAAAAAATACTGAAGAAAATAACACCTTAAAAAATAGCCTAACCCAAACGGCAAAAGAGGTCCAAAAAGTCAATAAGGAGAAGAATGCCCTAAAAAGCAAAATTGACTAAATGGAAAAGGAAGTCCAAAAGCTTACTGAAGAAAATACTTCCTTAAAAATTAGAATGGAGCAATTGGAAGCTAGTGACAATTTGAGAAATCAAGGCACTGTAAAACTAATCCAAAAGAATGAAAAAAAAGGGAATGTGAAATATCTCATTGGAAAAACAATTGACCTGGAAAATAGATCCAGGAGAGAGAACTTAAAAATTATTGGACTATCTGAAAGTCATGATCAAAAAAAGAGCCTAGACATCATCTTTCAAGAAATTATCAAGGAAAACTGCCCTGATATTTTAGAACCAGAGGGCAAAATAGAAATTGAAAGAATACAATACGATCACCTCCTAAAAGAGATCCCCAAAGGAAAACTCCTAGGAATGTTGTAGCCAAATTCCAGAATTCCCAGGTCAAGGAGAAAATATTACAAGCAGCCAGAAAGAAACAATTCAAGTATTGTGGAAACACAATCAGGATAACACAAGATTTAGCAGCTTCTTCATTAAGGGACAGAAAGGCATGAAGTATGATATTCCGAAGGGCAGGAATCACTTACCCAGCAAAACTGAGTATAATCCTTCAGGGTAAAAAATGGTCATTCAGTGAAATAGGGGACTTCTAAGCATTCCTGAGGAAAAGACCAGAGCTGAATATAAAATTTGACTTTCAAATACAAGACTCAGGTAAAACATGAAAGAGGTAAATAGGAAGAGAAATCATAAGAAACTTATTAAGGTTGAACTGTTTACATTCCTGCAGGGAAAGATGATATCTGTAACTCATGAGTCCTTTGTCAGTATTAGGATTGTGGGAGGGAAAAAAATTATATGCATGTATAGATAGATAGAGGGCACAGGGTGAGTTGAAGGAAGGGGTGATATCTGGAAAATAAAATTAAGGGGTGAGAGAGGATTATACTGGGAGAAGGAGAAAGGGAGAAGTAGAATAGGGTAAATTATCTCACATGAAACAGACAAGAAAAGGCTTTTTGGAGGGGAAATGGGGGAAGGTGACAGGGAATGAGTGAATCTTATTCTCATAGGATTTGACTTAAGGAGGGAAAAACATACACAATGGGGTATGGAACTCTATCTTACCCTACAGGAAAATAAGGAGGGAAGGGGAAGAGAGAGCAGGGGGTTGATAGAGGGGAGGGCAGATTGGGGGAGGGGATAATCAAAAGCAACTAATGAGGAGGGACAGGGTCAAAAGAGAGAATAGAATAAATGGGGGGTAGGATAGGATGAAGGGAAATATACTTAGTTTTTCACAATAGAACTACTATGGAAGTGTTTTGCATGACTACACATCTATAACCTGTACCGAGATGCTTGTCTTTTCAATGAAGGTGGGTGGGGAGGGAGGAAGGGAGAAAGTTTGTAACCCAAAGTTTTAAAAACACATGTTAGAAATAAAAAAAATTTTAAAAAGGGAAAAAAAAGATATTTTAAAAACAAGCTCACGAACCCCAGGTTAAGAACTCCTATAGAAAGAAGCTAAATATTTTCCCCCACTTCAAACTGTGAATACTAGATAAACTAGTGTATTTGGATATTTAATTAAATCTAAATAACTGAATCCTTAATAAAAGCTTAAGCAGTCAACAAGCATTAAGTGCTCACTCTCTGCCCAATAGTGTTTAATGTTTAGGGATACAAAACAACAACAAAAGGCAAAAAAGAGTCTCTGCCCACAAGAGTTTACATTCTAAAGAGGTAATGTGTACTTTGATTTATTTTGGAAATATTTCAGCAACGGAGATTAAGATGAGAAATCAGGAAGGGCAAAATACTCAAAGTGTAAACAAAAAAATAAACGTTTTCTTTTCTTGGGGAAGGACAGATTAGAGGAAGAATTTGCAATGTCGCTGAATATTTCTCATATCCTTAAGTGTCAATACACTTAAATTTCATTTAGCAGCTCTAAATCAAGTAACTTAGAAATTCTACGTAATTTTGTATAAAGTCCCAAAAAATGAAATTTTATATTACTTTTAGGGAAGTCATATATATCTTTAGAAATCAAACGAGAAGGCTTTTTTTTAAAGTAACTTATTTAGTGAAACAAATTAGATTAAGAATCCATTAGCCTATATTCTGGACTGGGTTTCTAGAAAACAGCATTGTCCATTTTTAGCAGTTAGCAGGTGATACTTTTCTCAGTTTCTGATGAGTCTTGCTCCAAAATGCAAATGAGGTCAACAAAAGCTCAAACACATGGAGTTTAAAGCTATTCAAAAGGTCTTCTAAATTCTTTCCCAGTTTTTGATGATTGCTAAATTCCATGCTTCACAACAAACTGAAATAGAGATATACAGTAAATAGGAGAAATTTTCTCCTGGGACTTTAAATCTCAAGTTGTTGAGAAGCATAAAGGCACTGGATGGAATATAAATCCCAAAAGTCAAACTTAACAATTCTATGTTTTTAAACTTTTGTAAGCTAACTTACAAATTTTTTAACGTTTTATTTTTATGTTTTATTTTAAAAGTCCTAAACTGGACCATTTTTAATTCCATAAACTAGGACGGTCCTGAGCCAAAGGAGTTCAGGTCCACGGAGTACATAAGCAATTAAGCATTTATAATTTAGTTTAAAA